TAAGGTAAATTTAAGATAGGCAGGGATTTCACTTGTATTATTCACTCTGTTTTCTTGAGGCCTAGCACAGTCCTTGGTACATAGAAGGAATTCAAGAAATATTTGTTAATCACGTGAACAAAGTGTTCATTGTTCCTGTGTTGACTGAAAGTGCCCGTGTTGGAACTCTTAGTACGTTTTGTGTTACATCCCCTTCCCAGGTACCTAAACTTTAACAGAAGATCCCAGAAGGACCCTAAACCTAATTTTTTTATAGGGAAAAGTACAGTGTGCTTCTGGAGAAAGAGCTGTTTCACTTGAGGCATTTTTAACATATAACAAATCAGAAGAAGGGTCACAGGCAGCCACTTTAAATACTTTTAAAAAGTCTTATATTTTAATAAATAATGTAAAATATAAACAAATGCAGAAGATTTGAGCACGGAACAAGTGAAATGAAGTTAAAAAGGTACAAGCTCTCAGTTATAAGATGAATAAAGTATGAGGATCTAATGTATAACATGACTATAGTTGATATCACAGTGTTGTACAATTAGAATTTGCTAAAACAATAGAACTTCTAAATGTTTTCAACCGCCCTCAAAAAAATATGTTCAAAAATTAAAATGGGGCTCATTGTTCAAAAGAAAAGGAAAAGACTAAAATGTAAAGAGGACTAAGCCTACACATTTTGATTAATGTGTTATGCTAAAAATGAAAGAAAAGTAAATTCATATTACTATAATAAGCCCAAATCTTTCAGTTTAGTTTTGGGATGGAAAATAACAGAAAAAATGCAGAAAGTGGATAAATTCTCCGTAAGTGAATGTTTTGTAAAATATCAATTTTCATCTGAATTGTCCATCTGAATTCTTGTAGTAGGTAGCAGCATAAGGCCTTTTTGTTTTTTGAATGTGTTACAAATTTTAAAACACAGAGCTCATTTCTATTTAAGGGTTTTTAAAATTAAATATTTTGCTTACTAAGAGTAAATTCAACTTCATCCTTTCCAATTTGGATGCTTTTTATTTCTTCTTGTCTGATTGATGAAGCTAGATCTTCCAGTACTCTGTTGAATAAGAGTGGGAAAAGCGACATCCCTGTCCTGATCCTGATGTTAAAGGAAAGGAAATGCTTGTAGTTTTTGCCCATTGAGTATGATGTTGGCTGTGGGTTTGTCATATATGGCCTTTATTATGTTGAGGTATATTTCTTCTATTCACACTTTGCTGAGAGTTTTTATCAAAAATGGGTGCTGGATTTTATTAAGTGGTTTTTTATGCATCTATTGATATGATCATGAGGTTTTTATCTTTCAATTTGTTTATGTGGTGTATCACATTTATCATTTTGCAGATATTGTACTAACTTTGCATCCCCAGAATAAATCCCATTTGATCATAGTGTATGATCTTTTTAATGTATTGCTGGATTTGGCTTGCTAATATTTTATTGAGAATTTTAGCATCTATGTTCATTGGGGATATTGGTCTGTAATTTTTTTTCTTTGTCTTGTCTTTATCTGGTTTTGGAATTAGGATAATGCTGGCTTTATAAAATGAGCTTGGCAGACTTCCCTCCTCTTGAATTTGTTGGAATAGTTTGAGAAGGATACATGTTCATTCTTCTTTGAATATTTGGTAAAATTCACCTATAAAGCCATCAGGTCTAGGGGCTTTTGTTTGAAGGGAGAATTTTGATTACTGCTTCAATTTCACTGGTTGTTATCTGTCTGTTCAGATTCTCTGATTCTTCCTGATTTAGTTTTGGCAGGTTACATTTCTAGAAATATCTCCATTTCTTCCACATTATCCAATTTGTTGGCATATAGTTGTTCATAATATTTTCTTAAAATCCTTTGTATTTCTTTGATGTCAGTTGTTACTTCTTCTCTTTCATTTCTGATTTTATTTATTTGGGTCCTCTCTCTTTTTTTCTTGATGAGTCTGGTTAAAGGTTTGTCAATCTTGTTTATCTTTTCCAGGAAGCAGCTCTTGGTTTCATTGATCCTTTGTAGTGTTTTTTGTTTGTTTGTTTTTTTAGATTATTTTATTTATTTCTGCTCTGATCTTTATTATTTCCTTCCTTTTCCTCACTCTGGGCTTTGTTTGTTGTTGTTTTTCAAGTTGCTTTAAGTGTGAAGTTATATTATTTATTTGAACTTTGTCTTGTTTCTTGAGATAGGCCTATAATACTATGAATTTCCCTCTTAAGATTGCTTTTCCTGTGTTCCACATATTTTAGGTTGTTGTGTTCTCATTTTCATTTGTCTCGAGGTATCTTTTGGTTTCTTTCTTGATCTCATTGTTAACCCACCATTGTTTTGTAACATGTTATTTAGCATCCATGTCTTTGTTTGTTTTTCAGTTTTCTTCTTCTTTTTTTTTTTGGTATGTTCTCCTAGCAGGAACCGAACCTGGGATTCTCTGGTCCACAGGCTGACACTCCAGCCACTGAGCTAATCAGCCAGGGCCAGTTTTCTTCTTGTGATTGATTTCAAGTTTCATAGTATCATGGTCAAAGGAGATGCTTGATATTATTTTAGTCTTCTTAAATTTGTTGAGACTTGTTTTGTGTCCTGATGTGGTCTATCCTAGAAAATGTTCTACGTGCATTTGAAAAGAATGTATATTCTGTTGCCTTGGGGTGGAATGCTCTGAAGATGTGAATGAAATATTTTTGATCTAGTGTGTCTTTATTGATTTTCTGTCTGGAAGATCTATTGATTGATGTCAATGGGGTGTTAAAATCCCCTACTATAACTGTATTAGTGTTGTTTTCTCCCTTTACATCCATCAGGATTTGCTTTACGTATTTAGGTGCTGCTGTGTTGGATACATAAATGTTTACAAGGGTATATCCTCTTGTTGGAGTGATTCCTTTATCATTATATAGTGTGCATCTTTGTCTCTTATTATATCCTTGGTTTTGAAGTCTATTTTGTCAGATATAAGTAACGCTACCCCACCATTTTTTTCCTTTTATTTTTTGCTTGAAATATCTTCTTCCATTCTTTTACTTTTAGCCTGTGTGTATCTTTTGTTCTAAGGTGGATCTCTTAAAGGCAACATATATGTTGGTCTTGTTTTCTTATCCATTCAGCTACCTTATGTGGTTTGATTGGAGCATTTAAGCCCTTTGCATTTAAAGTGATTATTGACAGGTACAAATTTATTGCCATTTAACTTATTTTTTTAGCTATGTTCCTTTGTTTTCTTTTGCTTTTTCTTCTTCTGTTTCTTTTTTTTTTTTTAATTTTTTTTTATTGTCATCTGTGGATATTTTTCCATTTATCTTCAGATAGAGTGGGAAGGGAGGGAGGGAGGGAGGGAGAGAGAGAGAAACATTGATGTGTGAGACACATTGACCAGACCTGACCAGGGCTGGGGACTAGACTGTAACCAAGTATGTGCCCTTGACTGGAATCAAGCCTGCCTCTTTGGTCTGTGGGCAGACACTCTACACCACTGAGTCAGACTGGCCAGGGCTTCTTCTGCTTCTTAAAGCAAGACCTTTAACAATTCTTGTAATGCTGGCTTCATGGTAACAAACTCCTTTAGCTTTGTCATATCTGGTAAGCTCTTTATTTCTCCTTCAGTTTTAAATGATAGCCTTGCTAGGAAAAGCAGCCTTGCTTGTAGGTTCCTGTTTTTCATCACTTTGAGTATTTCATGCCAGTCCCTTGTCATCTGAAATGTTTCTGTTGAGAAATCAGCTGACAGTCTAATGGGAACTTCCTGTAGGTACCTGACTGCCTTTATCTTGCAGTTTTTAAGATTATCTCTTTGCCTTTAAATTTGGGCATTTAAATTATGATGTGTCTTGGTGTGAGTCTCTTTGGGTGGAGTTGGTGGGGTGGAGGGATTGAGCAAAAAAAAGAGAGAACTCATGGACGTGGTGCTGATTGCAGGGGTGGAGGGGGAATGGGGAGGTGGAAGAGGGCATGGGATAAATGGTGATGGAAAAATTAAATTTAAAAAATAAAAAAATCAAATACAAATGAATAAGTAATACATGTATACATAAAAAGGAGTAAATTTAAAATTATTTATGTTTTATTTATTTTCTTTATTGATTTTTAGAGAGAGAGGAAGTGAGAAGGAGAGAGGGATAGAAACATTGATGAGAGAGACCATTGATTGGCTGCGAGAGAGGTAGAAACATCGATGAGAGAGATCATTGATTGGCTGCCTCCTGCATGCTTCCCACTGGGGATTTGACCCACAACTTGGGCATGTGTCCTGACCAGGAATCAAACCAGCGACCTCTTGGTGTATGGGTCGATGCTCAACCACTGAGCCACACCAGCCGGACTATATGTTTCATTTTTTATTATTAGGTAATTATAGATAATATCCAAATAATACATCTCAATTTTAAGTACTTAATGTGTAGGAAAAATTATTTCTGGGTTAATACTAACTTGATTGAAAACATGTTATTAAAAATAATAGCAATATATCATTAAAATTGCCCTGGCCAGTTTGGCTCAGTGGTTAGAGCGTCGGCCTGTGGTCCGGAGAGACCCGGGTTCGGTTCCCGCTAAGGGCACGTACTTCGGTTGCAGTTTGTCCCCGGCCCTGGTTGGTCGTGCTGGTGGCAGCCACTCGATGTGTCCCTTCACGTCGATGTTTCTCTCTCTCTCTCCTTTCCTCTCTCTCCCTCCCACTCTATCTGTACAAAAAATGGAAAAATATCCTCTGGTGAGGATTAAAATAAATAAATAAATAAATAAAATAAAATAATAAAATATATTATTAAAAAATAGCAATATAGCCTTCTCCCTTGACTCTCTCCCTTTACTTCCATAATTAAAAATAGAAAAAGTGGTAAAAAATAGTTATTTTAAAATGACTTTTATAAGTACTTGAGTCTACTTGGTTTGTTTAAATCCTGAGAACACTCTTTAAGTAGTTAAGTAACTTGTTTGTTATTGGGTTTGTTTGCATGTGTATGGACTGAATATAGAAACATCAAACACCATTATTAAATGTATTTTTCTAAAACATTTTTTTAAATAGCTAATACACAGTTCCTGCCGAATGCTTCACTTTTTCACCAGAAGTAAACGATTTTTAGCAGCCAGTTTGTTCACTTTCACAACCCAACATGTTTCTTTGAGATTGGCCTGGATTTTACAGAACCTGGTAGAGGTAAGAAAAGAGTGTGTGTGTGTGTGTGTGTGTGTGTGCACGCGTGTATGTGTGGCGCACGTGCACACACACTTATACCTGCATGGAGACTTTGGAGTAGATTCAAGGAATGAGGATAGTAATTTGATTATTTGAGGGAAAATTAAGTATCTACCACATATTGAGATGGAAGACAAGGAATCTTTACCCAGTTTATTTATTTTTTAAAAATATTTTTTCTTTATTGATTTTAGAGAGAGAGGAAGGGAGAGGGAGAGAGAGATAGAAACATTGATGAGAGAGAACATTGATTGGCTGCCTCCTGCACACCCCCCACTGGGGATTGGGCCCACAACCTGGGCATGTGCCCTGACTGGGAATTGAACCGGTGACCTCTTAGTGCATGGGGTGATGCTCAATCCACTGAGCCCCACTGGCTGGGCTACCCAGTTTGTTTTTTAAAACCTTTTTATTATGAGTCATAGCACATATAGAAAAGTGAACAAAACAGAAATGTACCATTCAGTGATGTACTGTAGAGCAAACATCTGTGTAACACTGCTGGAATGAAGAACTAGAACACTGTATTACATTTCTTTTCACTTTTACAGTTTATATATTTTTCTCAAAACTATAGTTTTGTCTGAATATTTTTGAACTTTGTATAAATGGAATCATACAGTGTATTCTTTTGTGTTTGACTTATTTTGGTGAACTTTATATGTGTGAAATACATGTATGTGTATGTAAATTAATTTTTTTTATATTTTAATGCTATTTAGTTTTCAGTATCTGATTTTGTCATAGTTTATTTATCCATTCTGTTCATATACGTTTGAGTTATTTATAGTTTGTGGCTATAATGAATAATGCTATCTCTTGAGGTACATGTAAATTATTTCTGCTGTCTCTACATATAGGAATGGATTTTTTAGGGCATAAAAAAATATATATATCTTTCTCTTTATTTTTAGTGGATAATGTCAAACACTTTTCCAAAGTTTTTGACAGTTTTCACACTCATGATCAGCGAATGAGAATCATTTATAGGAGACACACTTTTTAGATTCAAAAATACAAATTTGTTAAAAAGATATGGGATTCCAAGATGGCTACAGAGTATGTGGCTACACTTACCCCCTCCCAGCACCAGATCAGATTTACAAGTAAATTATAGAGTAATCCACCTAAAAAACCAACTGAAGGCTTGTTGAACAGAAGTATTATGACCAAGGATCTACTGACAAAGCCACATTGAGATTAGTAAGAAGGGCAGAGATGCTGAAAGAGCTGTTTTTTGTGGCAGTTGAGAATTTGGAGGGATAGCTATCTTAGCTTCAAAGGTCCCTGAGGAGTGAGGTGGCCTCAACCCCACACTGGGATCTCCAACCCAGAGCACCAGAGCCAGGAGAATGCTCCCACATAAGATCTGGTGGTGAAAATTAGTGGGGATTGTGTCTGCCTGGGAGAAATGGGAGTCTGCTAGCAACACAGGCACTCTTCTCTTTTTTTTCTTTTTCTTGTTCTCACCTGAGGACATTTTTGTATTTATCTTGAGATAGAGCAGGAGGGAGGAAGAGACAGAGAGAAACATTGATGTGAGAGAGAGACATCGAGTAGTTGCCACCCACATGACCTCAACCAGGGCCAGGGACAAACCACAACTGAGGTACGTGCCCTTAGTAGGAACTGAACCCAGGCCTCTCTGGTCTGCGGGCCAGGACACAGGGTCTTGTTCTCAGACACTCACCCGGTACTTCATTAGAGGAAAGATGACTCATGGCACACAGGAGACATAAAGAGAAGATCTGGGTGGCATGGCTTTGAGGAGTGATCTGGAGGGTCAGCCACCAGAGGTCCCTGTGCTGATTTCCAATGTCATACTGCCCTCAGACGCCATCTTCCCAAGGTAGAGCACTCTTATTCTTACAGCACCATCCTGTGGAGTGCACTAGCTCAGTCCTCCAAATCCTGGCAGCACAACTGTGCCAACCTTAAGTCCTGCAGAAACATCTGCTGGCCCCACCCAACTAGGACCGTTAGTGCACTCTTTTACTTGAAAAGCTCTTGGCAGAGACTCGGACAGACATTGATCTTTGTAACTCCAGAGAAGGGGCCATTCATTCCCACCAGCATGCTACTGGCACTCTTCACCCAATGGGAGATTCACTTGTCCTGTCCTTCTGATTCCCAGTGGCCACATCCTGCTGAACTTGAATCTTACACAGGGGTCAACTGGCTATACCCAGCCTGAACCAGTGGTGCACTTTTTATGAGGGAGCTAGGGTCAGAAACTCGGGCATAGACTGAGTGGTATGGCTCTGGAGTTGGAATCACTTTTTCTTCACTGAATGCTTGACTGTGCTGTTCCTAAGCAGAACCACTAGCCCTGCCCTCCTGACTTCAGTCACTCCACCCTTTGAGCTCACATCTTGTGGAAGAGACTATGGGAATCTGACCTTTATACACAGTTTGGATCCTCCCATGCACATCCAGGTCCAGTAGAGGCAGCTTCTAACAGGGGACTGTTTAGTGGCTCTAGACAGGTAGCCTAAGGATAGTTGCAGCCAGCATATGATATTGACCTACACCAGAATCCCTCCCAAGTGGACCTAGAGCCAAAACAACTTGTGGGCTACAGAACCCAACTAGCAACACAAATGGCACACCCAAAGATAGATCCTGGCAGGCACCAGAACCTGCTGGGGAACAACTCCACCTTGAGGAGCAGCCCCACACAGAAGCTCCTACAGTGTGATCAGGGTCAATCTTAATAGTCAGACAGCCTGAGGATTAATCCCACTCACGAATGGACCAGCAATGTTCAAGACTCAACTATAACAGGAAAGCTCATGTAAACCACACAAGAGACATTCCTGTAGCACCTGGCTCAGGTGATCTGGAAGGTAGTGCACTGAGCCCACGAGACACCTACAACATAAAACCACCGTAACAAGTTTGAGAGTCATGGAAGATCTACCTAATACATAGAGACAAATACAAAAAGGCAGACAAAATGGGGAGACAAAGAAACATGCCCCAGGGAAAGAAAAGAGAAATCCCAAGAAAAAAATTAAATGAAATAGAAGCAACCAATTTACCAGATGCAGAGGTCAAAACAGTGGTTATAAGAATGCCATTTGACCCAGTCATCCCACTTCTAGGAATATACCCTAAGAAGCCTGAAACACCAATCAGAAAGAATATATGTACCAATATGTTCATAGCAGCACTATTTACAATCGCTAAGATCTGGAAACAGCCCAAGTGTCTGTCAATAGATGAGTGGATTAAAAAGTTGTGGTACATATACACAATGGAATTCTATGCAGCTGTAAGAAAGAAAGATCTCTTATCCTTAGAGATGACATGGAGGGACCTAGAGAGTATTATCCTAAGTGAAACAAGCCAATCAGAGAAAGACAAATATCACATGATCTCACTTATTTGTGGAATACAATGAACAAAATAAACTGATGAACAAAATAGACCCAGAGACATAGAAGTAGCATACAGACTGACAAACCTCAGAAGAGGGGGATGAGGGGGTGGGGTGGGAGGAAGTGATAAACCACAGAACTCATATTCCTGTATGCATAACTGTGGACATAGACAACAATGCTGGGGCAGGTGTGGGATGGGAAGGAGGGTGTCAATAGGGGAAAAGGAGAAACATGTAACAAAAATGTAAAAAAATAAAAATTGAAAGGCAAAAAAAAAAAAAAAAAGAATGCTCAAGGAATTTAGGGGAAGAATGTATTATCTCAGTGAAAACTTAAAGAGATAGTAGGCATTAAAAAAAGCATAGAAACCATAAAAAGAACCAGTTAGAAATGAAGAACACAATAAGGAAATAAGGAATACCCTAGAAGAATCAACAGCAGATTAGATGAAGCACAGGATCTAATAGTGATTTAGAGGACAAGATAACAAAACACCCAAGCAGAGCAATGAAAAGAAAAAAAAAATAATAATAATAAGGAAAGTCTAAGGGACGTCTGGGACAACATCAAGCATAGCAACATGTTGCATCATAAGGGTACCAGAAGGAGAAGAGCTTGAGCAAGGGATTAAGAACCTATTTGAATAAATAGTGCCTGAAAAAAAATTTTTTTTTTATCCTCACCCGAGGACATTTTTTGATAGTTTATTCAGATAGAGTAGAAGGGAGAGAGAGAGAGAGAGAAACATCAATGTGAAAGGGACACATCAAATGGTTGCCACCCACACGACCCAACCAGGTCCGGGGACAAACTGCAACCGAGGTATGTGCCCTTAGTGGGAACTGAACCCAGATCTCTCCAGACTGCAGGCCAATGCTCTAACCGCTGAGCCAAACTGGCCAGGGCCTGAAAACTTTTTTAATCTGGTGAAGGAAAAAGACACACCTGTCCAGGAAGCACAGAGATGCCCAATCAAGATGAACCCAAGACACATCATAATTAAAATGGAAAAGATTAAAGACACAGAGAGTCTTAAGAGCAGCAAGAGAAAGACAGCAAATTACCTACAAGGGAGCTCTCATAAGGCTGTCAGCTGATTTCTGTACATCAACACTATAGACCAGAAGCGATTGGCATGAAATATTCAAAGTGATGAAAGCAAGGACCTACAACCAAGACTACTCTTCCAAGCAAGGTTATAAGTTAAAATTGAATGTGGAATAAAGAGCTTCCCAGGCCCAAAAGAAGCTAAAGGAGTGTATTGCCACTAAAACCAGTATTACAATAACTGATATGCATAACCAATGGACACAGAAAATAGTGTGGTGAAGGCATGGGGCGGGGGGCAGGAGTGGAGTGGAGGAGGTCAATGGGCTAAAAGAGGGGGATATCTGTAATACAACAATAAAGAAAAAAGATGTTAAAAGGTCTTTTTTAAGAATAAGAAAGAAAAAGATGAGGAGCATAGTTATAAAGAATAAAATGGCAATAAATATGTACCTATCAATAATTACTATAAATGTAAATGGATTAACTTCTCTCATCAAAAGATATGTGGTAGCAAAATGGAAAAGAGAA